GACTGGCCTTCGTGACCAAAATTCGGTCTGAAGGACAATCAAATATTTAAGCAATTAAAAAAACAGTCCAGTTTTGGAGAAGGAAACCGGGGAAGATTCGCAGAATTTTTCATTGGTGAAATCGGACATAAGACAACAGTAGAATATTAAAAACCTATTGATTAAAATAATTATATAACCTTGTAACTATTATACTAACGTATTGCATTTATTACAGATGTTCGACAGCGTCTCCATACTATTCTCTGACGTCGTGACCTTCACAGAGATCTGTTCCCGCATCACGCCTATGGAGGTGGTGTCTATGCTTAACGCCATGTACTCTATCTTCGACACCCTAACTGAGAGGAACCGCGTTTACAAGGCCAGTATAACACTTTAATTAAGAAAGTGTCCGTTATGAAAATCCAAATGTTTTCAACATCTTTTTACGTATTATATATTACGGGCTTGGCAGGTAAGTTTTGTGTTTGCGTATCTAGCTGTTATAATTTAATTATCCACAGGCCACTAGGGCTCCGCCCTTGGTTGCTCGTCGAGGTGACCACTCGTGGGCGTGGATTTTTGTACGCGGTAGAGCCATGCTGTATCCACTTTAAGGTTGTAGCACGAATGGGTCGGCTCGACTGGCAAACGACCACGCTCTCACAGAATACCACCGTAAAATAACAGCTCAATACTGTTGTGTTTCGTATGGTGACTGTAGAGAACCGAAGATCCTTTTTACTGGAAATGAAGCACTTCATCTTGTTTTTACATCGCTGATCGTGACAACGGATCTGCATTTTGATTCTTAATCGAGGATTCATGTAGATGTCTATGGGTCACAGTATCTATTTTAGGTTGACTGTGTACTCGTATGGCACCATCACTCTATAGCAACAAATATTTTTGGTATCTACAGATAGTATAGTAGAGAAGAGAGCAATGGCAACTCTGGGACTTAGCGCTTGCCGTAAATTCCATAATAAGCGAGTAACCCAAGTTCCATCCCCGCTAGCACCAATGAAATTGTTATTTACATTATTATTGACACGAGAAATCCACCGACACGTAATAGACAGAATAAATAACATTACTTAATTGTACACTCTATTAAATTGAATTTAGCTCAAAACGAAAAAAATAGGTTCGCTATTTTGTAATAATTATTGTATCATTAATTCTATAAAACTTTTATACCAAAAAGACCTATTTTTTACTTAAGTTTGAAGCCTCGACTACAGTAAAGAAGCTTTGTATATGAATAGAAGTAGGTAATCCACTTTAAGGGCTTAGAGTAACTTTACTTTGATTCGGAAAACAACAATAAAGACTTTTATTCGTTGATTTTCTTTCGTAAAGGTTTAATCTAAGACTCAATAAAATGTTTTTCATCAGAACTATATATACTTTATAAAGTTTTATTACTATTCTTGCGTAAAACTTTCAAAGCCGTATCAGTCCGGGAAAATTGCCGGTGGTAAACAATTCCACAGAAGGGTCGCATGAGGCGAAAAACTGTGGATGGTATCGCAAATATTGTTGCGACGTGCGTTCGTGGAATTTGGTAGTTGGGATTAATCCAAAGAGCACTTCCCGTGGTATATGCGATAGAAGATGAAAAGGGATGCAACATCTCTTCGCAGTGCCATCCAGTGAATCAAGCCGATCGGAGAGGACTTGGTCGTTGATTATTCGAGACGCTCTGCTCTGGATGCGGTCAAGTGGAAGGAGCTGGCACTGGGGAGCCCCGACCTAGAGATGGGAACAATATTCCATGTGAGGCCGAACTTGCATCTTGTAAAGTTGCAGGAGGTGTGCCGACATGAAATCAAAGATTTAAATCTTTGTATGAAATACAGTCCAGCTCTACTGAGCTAAGATTAAATTCAAATCCTGAAGTTTTTGTATACACAAAAAATTACATAATACATTCATGCATATATTATATATAATAATAATAATAATAAATTCTTTATTTCAGATAAATAAAATCCATATGTGGGTTAGTATATGATGATATGATATCGTTTTACAAATTAGATATATTTTCATTGTGTCGACATTTGTCCGAGAACGCTCATACCTCTATCGCAAAAACTTCATTTAGAATACAGGAATGTTAAAAACAATTACGTATCTCAATTAAGTGTCGCTTGTTAACGTCGCTATAAATTATCCAGAGCAGTTGATGAGAGCTTTAGATTGTTACCGTCGTCGAGACGTCATTTATTTTATACTACAGAATGAGGTTTTCATTTTTGTATAGACTGTGCCACTACACTACAAGTTACAAAAAAATGAATCATAAATACTCATTTATTTTATTTACTGACACACACACACACACACACACACGCGCACGCACGCACGCACGCACGTACAGATCCACGCCCGCACGCCCGCACACACGCATGTAACGCACGCACGCACGCACGCAAGCACGCACGCACGCACACACCACACGACGCACGCACGCACGTACGCACGCACACACACACACACACACACACTCACACACACACACACACACACACACACACACACACACACACACACACACACACACACACACACACACACACATCTACAATAGTGCATGTGTGTGTTATTTTACAAATTATTAATCCTTCCATCCATTACAGTTTACAACCTATAAAATTCCACTTCTGAACACAGGCATCCCTCATAGATTATACTGCCACTACACGGTTTAAGACATGTTTGTTATATTTTTCTCTTATAAACATTGATAAGAAAAAACAATATTAAATAAAAAAATCGATAGTGCAGTTGAGCCGCGGTAATCCGACAAACGGTGTTGATTATCGAATTTGTCGGACTATAGAGTACTGCCACAGCCCCCTGGTAGTCCGGAACTTTTTGAAAAAGAGTACAATATAATACAATACAATACTCTTTATAGTATACCAACAAAACATAAATATAACAAATAATGAACAAATAATGAGGGATAAACAAAAGGCGGTCTTATTGCTACATAGCAATCTCTTCCAGACAACCCAGAAGAGGAAATTAATAAAAATAAAATAAGATTAATGGGTAGGGTGCACTAAATTAGATAAAAAATACAACTTATATACTATACAATGACAACATACTTAAGGTATATTAGTGACCATAACTAAGAGGAGGAAGAGAGAGGAGTTAAAGAGACAAATAGTGTTGAACACAGTATCTTGTAATATGACGGATATCATATCAAATATAAAATAATAAAAAATAAAAATGTCATGTGATGCACATTGATTACCTAAACAGTAAATAATGAATGCCCGCTAGGCCGCTACCATAATCACATTTGAACCGAGACAATACGCGTCGAGTTAGATTCGTGGTGGCGCGGACTAATTACAACTTCTATGTCCACGCGTATGTATTCGCGTAGGACACCTGCCCCCGTGGCGGATTTATAGTGCGACTCGAATCTAGCTAAGGACGAGTCGGATTACAAGGGGGGACGGATTAGCCAGGGGCCGGATTACCGGGGGTCCACTGTGAAGAGAAAATAACGGTTAAAGTTCTTAATAACGTGGGTAATAAGTAATGAACTGCAGAAGATTTACTATTTGGACTTATTTTGGAGAAACTGACGACCAAAGTAAAGTGAAATGTACTAATGTAATGTAATGTTTCTTTGTTTGATTCCAAAAACATTTTATCAAGTTTCTATTTGCCATAATCGTAACTAAATGTAGAGTTCCTCAAAAACATAAATGTATAGATTTATGAATTTGAGGCACTCTAGAGTAAGTAGATTTAACCCATAAATAAAATATATTTTCAACAGTAAAAGACATCGTATTACTCAATTCGTATATTGCAATATATTGGACACTATGAAAACGAATGTTCGGTGATTTAGCCAAATATTCGGCCGAATATGAATATATCGGTAAAGCTGCCGAATATGCCGAATACCGAATATAAAACGAATATTCGGCCCATCTCTAGGTAATAATCGATTATCTGTAGATACGTATAATTAACATACATTTCATAATATTTTTAAATCTGCAATGAATGACATCTATTACGATTTCTTGATATTGCTACATTATACATTATATGTTGAACGCCTATTATGTAAAAGTACTAGTAAAAGCGTATTGCCTATTGCGTAGTGCTCGTGTAGATCAAGGTGACGAGTTAGTGTTTAAATCGATATCAATTCGCACCATATCCCGAGGGCGCCGTACATAGCAATTACGCTATTAAGTTTAGCACAAATTTTAATTATAGTAACATCGGATAGCTGACCAAATTGATTGACAAATTACAGACTACGCATTTGTGTTTGTAAAGTAACTTCTTATCGCATCATCTACTCGGTTACCGACACTATCTAGACATACGGCAGTGTATCAGCCAAAGAAAAGGCGACGCACAGGTAGTGTGGATATTAGTATTTACACGTACTATTTCGAGCTACTTTCGAAGCCGCTATAACTCAAAAACAATTGGAAACACATAGCAGTTACATAAATCACAACGTCTATAGAAATGTTCGTATTTGGAACTGCTATGGGACATATGTAGTTCTCACTCTTTCATCTGTAATAAGAAATCGCCTAGACTAAAAACTGAATAGTTAATAGTACACTGCTTAGATACATAATTATATAAGTGTAACTTATTTTTATTTAAAAAAAACGCTACCTACTATTGTTACAATTTCTTGAACAATATCTGTAATATTATATTAAAGCCTTATTCTATTTTCACAATTACTAACAGGTAAACAAAGTTGAGCCACAATTTAAAAAACCTAAATACATATGTTAAATCAATATCATTCATGTTAAAGCAAAACAACAAATGAATTATTGTGTACATAAAAAAATATTTACCCTCGTAACAGGTACTTGTTAAACTTTTAAACTAAGTAACTAACTTTTGTTTTTGTGTGTCGAAATATAGTTGCTGTAAATCTGTTACATCTTAAACATTCAAGTATAGTTATCGCTGATCGTATCGTACATGTAAGCGTTACATAGGGCGCAAGTATCTGGTAAATATGTAATATATGCCGCGCCATATGTAAACGTATATGTAAACGACGACAACAACAACGAACGAACTGGTTGCCGTAACCTGAAATCAATCAGAATAACACCCAGTTCCACAACAGACACTGGCTGGCAACTTAATAATTTTTCTGCAAAACTTCAAATATTATTTCAGGTGGAGACGATAGGAGACGCGTACATGGTGGTATCAGGAGCGCCAGAAAAAGAAGATAATCATGCAGAGAAAGTGTGCGACATGGCTCTCGATATGGTTGAGGCGATCACGGATCTTAAGGACCCCAGCACCGGTATCAAATTAATCTATTAAATAAGCCACTATTTGAAATGAAAAAAGGTTGGATCGTTTAGTTTGTGGTTTTTGATTCTGACTGGATCGATACGGATCAAAAAATTGTCACTAAAACGCTCTTATCTACACTGAAATACTTCCCCTATGTCAAAATATGAAGTGTGTCGACTAAGATAAATGTATAAACTTTTACCAAACAAGATTTTATGAATTTGGAAAGGAGTCCTACCTTCTAGTAGTGCCATTAGTCGTTACCTTTAAAGTTCTTTTATAGAATAAGGGTGACAAACGAGCACACAGTTCACCTGATGGTAAGTGGATGCTATGGCCATAGACATCTACAATTATCCTCGATTAAGAATCAAAACTAGTGTTTTACTACTACCCTATGGCCCACTTGATGGTAAGTGGTGATGTTGCCGAAGACGGTAAAACTTACTCATTTAGCTTGATAAACCCTATTTACTCTTGCCTTGTAGGCATAGAAGACTCCGCGGCCTAGAATTGAATTCCAGCGCTGTGGGCCGCCGTTTCGAATCCCGCACGCCCCGCACGGTCCCGCACGGAACTAGCATTGTTATTGGCTTACAGTAATTGTTCCGGGTCTGGATGTTTGTCCTTGTGCAATTTATATTTCTAAACTGCCTCCACGATACAAGAAACAATCTTAGCGTGGGATTACGTTTTTAAAAGAAATTAGAAGTGACTCTGCATTTTATGAAAAAAAAAGAACTATATTTTATTATATGACCAATAGAGTAAATATTAGAAATAATTAAAGAAAATAATTTTATATGTAACTCTGTGACAATTCCTTAGGTTCACATTTATCGATAAGGGTTGGCGTGCATTCCGGTGCTGTAGTCGCCGGGATTGTAGGCCTTAAGATGCCGCGCTATTGCCTGTTTGGAGATTCCGTCAACACGGCGTCCCGTATGGAGTCCACTTCAGAAGCAATGAGGATCCACATATCGCAGACCACGCAGGAGTTACTCTCGCCATCATACCAAGTCGTGGAAAGAGGAGAAATACAGGTCAAGGGAAAGGGTGAGTTAAGTAATAATTTTTTTTTATATATCCACTCGAATGTCGGGGTCATTTCGGCCAATATGGCGCATCTGTCGAGCACTTTCCGAAGTACTAAGTATATATACATATATATACTAAGTAAGTATATTAAAATTATATATCAATGGAAACGTTATTAAATAAGCTATCAGATTATGCATAACAGATATATATGTTATATATATGTATAAATATATATGTATGTTTTGACAGATGCGCATATTATTTGAGACGCCAGAATATGGCGTTTGGACAGACGAGGGGATATGAGTATGACAAACAAACTAACATACGTGACGATACATGGTGGTATGAGATTACTGCAGCCTGACACAGATACTTCATCACCCTTGAGAATTAAGATGAAATACTTCGCAATCTGTCACTTCTTCCCATTTCATCCTGTGAATATCTTAGGAGGTGACAGAGGGAAACAGAACCAAAAGATGAGCAGCAGCATCTTTTCATGTGGATGGAGACTTTTCATGATGAACACTTTGTGCAACATTTCTTTTTATTGGAGAGGGGGCAAACGAGAATGCGGCTCACCTGATGATAAGTGAATATCGCCGTCCGTGAACAACTGCAACACCAGGGGAATTGCAGGTGCGCTGCCGGCCGGCCTTTAAATAAGAGTAGGATCCTCTCTTGAAAATCCTTAAGTCGTATAAGTCTGGAAAAATCTCTGGTGGTGTCGAAAGAAGAAGATGAAAACTTTTTGTAAATCGCACAGTGGTGGGCTGCCAATCATCCGATGGTATGGTTGGTATCGCGAGTTTTGTCGCGATGTGCGATGGTAAAAACATGAACAGGTTTCTACAAATTCTAAAAATTATTCTAAAAATTAGGCTTCTTAGACAACCATAGACATTTTTCAAATTAAATAGTCGTTTTTCGTTCTTATACTTATTTAGTACAGACTGATTGAAATTGCGTGATAGCGGTAGTCTCTGCCTAACCCTCTGGGTGACAGGCGTGAGTGCTTATGTATATGTATGATTAAAATCCTCCTCTACTTCAATTTTTTTATTAAATTGAAGTGACAAACTATCTTACAGTCTACATGGTGGTATGTGGACAATGCAGTCCATTTTTTAATAGGATGGGGTGACAAACGAGCACACAGTTTACCTGACGGTAAGTGGTTGCTGAGGCCCATAAACATCTACATCTATCCTCGAGTACGAATCAAAATGCAAATGCGTTGTCACACATGAGGACTAAGATGGAATGCCTCGTTTCCAGTAAAACGGGTCTGCGGTTATTTACACTTACCATACGAAACACAGCAGCATTAAGCTATTATTTCACGCTGGTATTCTGCAAGAGCGTGTTCCTTCCCCGGTCGAACCGACCTATTCGTGCTACAGCTATACTACTAATATAAATGCAGCATAGCTCTACCACGTGTGGAAAGAATAATTGAGGAAAGAGTTAGAAAGCAAATTTATGTTGCAGAAGTGAAGGGCAGAGTCGGAAAAGGACGTCCTAGGCGAAAGCTTATCGACCAAATTGGCGATATATTGAAAACGGTCCAAATTAGGAGTACCATGAACCGACGAGCATATATGAGTAGGTATATGGGTGAAGGAGGCGAGAGAGGTTCAGGATCGTGCCAAATGGAAGTCTTAAGTTTCTGCCTACCATCTCTGGGTGACAGGCGTGAGTGTTTATGTATGTGTGAAGTGACAAACAAACTTACAGTCCACGTGGTGGTATGTGGATAATGCAGTCCGTGAACACCTGCAAGACTGCAACTAATTTCAAACAAAGAAGTTTTCATTTGCGTTGTCACCTCTGAGGACTAAGATGGAATGTCTCTCGCTTTCCATACCCTTCAGATTGGAACACAGGGATGCTGGCACTCCTTAGCGACAGGAATAGGTTAGAGAGTGTCATCCAGATGGACTCCCACCCGGACCCAGTAAAAAGTAATTTAAGGATGTATCATGTTAAATATAATAATATAAGAATAAAATAAGAAGTAAATGAAGCTCTAAACTCTATTGTGAGAAGTCAGAATGTGTCAAAAAAGGCACCTATGGCAATTCACAATGCTGTATTAGTTCCTACTTTAACGTATGGTATGGAAAGTTGGGTGTGGCAGAAGACGCACGAGACTAGAATAAATGCAGTAGAAATACGGTCGCTAAGGAGTATGTTAGGGCTGAATCTGAGTGACAGGGTGGGAAAATGTGTGATAAAAGAAGAAAATAATAAATATAAATAAATAAATTTGTTTCGTTTTAAGAAGTACATGCCTTAAGAACTGTGGATCGGAACCTCCATTTAAGCAAAAAAAATGCCTGTGTTTGGAGGGTCCGCCCTTCCATTACTACATTCATGTTACATGGCAGTATTGGTAAACATATTCTATATCATATATTAAAATTATCTATATATTACTTATATTCTAAAATTAGGACAATCAAACGATGGGAACGTAGTCTACTTATAAATACTGCATGATACGTGAGTGAAAGTTTATTGCTATTTATGTAACGTATGTGTGAAAACCCCATTTTAATAAAAAAAAATTTAAAAAAAATAATAAATTATATTTTTATATTTTTTTATTTAGAAAAAAAAAAAAAAAAAAAAAAAAAAAAAAATAAAAACCCAGGTTTGGTTATGAGAAATAAAAAAAAAAAAAAAAAAAAAAAAAAAAAAAAAAAAAACCCTGTGTGTACCTTTCATTTTTTTTTTTTTTTAAAAAATTTTATATTTTTATTATTTTTTGTTTTTTATATATTTTTTTTTTTTAAAAAAAAAAAAAAAAAAGAATTCGATGTAAAGTGAATCAGGTGTTACTTTATAAAAATTCAGATACTTATAACAGGAATTGCTTAGATTATTAATTAGGTTTGCATCTTACATAAAACGGTATGGTTTTATTGCAGGAGCTATGAAAACCTACTGGCTCGAAGGTAGAGAATCTCGGCCATCTTTAAGTAAAATGATATCCTCGCAACTACAACCGGGGAACGAGTTGGAATGGGAACGAGCGGTAGACGTCAGAGACAGCATCGCTGAACATTCCGCCCAGCAAATGCACAACAAGGAGCATCTGTTGAATTATCAACATCTACCGAACGCGGTCAATTCTGCGCTTAATTCCTCAATTCATAGTGCTGGTAATCTGATATCGTCAAACCCAAGGAATCAAGCGCCTACGGTAACGTCACCGGTGGAAGAAAGACGGATGTATTCTCCGGTGACTTTCCAAGACGTCGCTAGAAGAAGTGTAGCCAATTCGCCGAACAGAGTGGAAAGGGAGAGAAGTGAATATTTGGAGCAATACCAAAATAGCACGATCAGCATCCGAAAGCATTCATACATTCAAACTAACAAAGGTACGTCTCTTTAACATAAATGTAAGATCTTAAAGCCAAGGGTACATCTTTTTTATATTATTCTAAGCCAGCGTTTAACTACAATCCCACCTGATGGTAAGTGGTCATATAGCCTAAGATGGAGAAGCGCACTGAATTAAAAAAAGCCTATTCACTCTTGCCTTGAAGACACCCACATTGTAATTGCATGGAGACACAGATAGTGGCAACTTATTCTACTCCTTTGTTGTACGCATGATGAACGATGTAGCAAACCGTTTGATTCGAATCCGTGGTAAGTCAACAATAAAAGGGTGGAGACTGGCCGAACGTCTGGTCGTCCGATGGTGGAAGGGAGAGGGGGGAATCAATTTATGCAATTCCTGCGCACACTCTCCGAAATGCATCCTGTAATATACAACACGTAACATAATTAACGCACTTTGAGAAAGTAGTTTGTTCAGAATCGTTTACTGAATCGATTCCTATCATTTTTAATATAGGTAATTTTTTATCCCAAAAATAATTAAAACTACGTAAATTACAGTCACACTAAATCTGTACAGTCAAAACAAACTGAAATGGACCGTAACTTAAGGTAATAAGACTTTTAAGAATGCAGTTTTATTTGTACTATTACTAATACTGTCATTCAATAAAAATAAAGGAAACTGAACTTTATTTCAAGCACATTAAAAGTCTTTGCGTTCGTGGATTTGTACAGTGACCACAACATTCTTCCGGAATTAGTATAACTAATTTGATAAATAATCAGTGCATAAAAATGTTTAACTAAAAATTCAGTGTATGTATTATGACTATAACATAATATACTAATTGTGGTGTCTGAGGGTGTGCGTTAATTACGTTACATATTGTATATATATATATATATATATATATATATATATATATATATATATACAATATGTAACGTAATTAACGATTATATATATATAGATATATATATATATATATATATATATATATATATATATACAATATGTAACGTAATTAACGCACGTCCTTTTAGTTAAACATTTTTATGCACTGATTATTTATCAAATTAGTTATACTAATTCCGGAAGAATGTTGTGGTCACTGTACAAATCCACGAACGCAAAGACTTTTAATGTGCTTGAAATAAAGTTCAGTTTTCTTTATTTTTATTGAATGACAGAATTAATAATAATACAAATAAAACTGCACTCTTAAAAGTCTTATTGCCTTAAGTTAAGGTCCATCTCAGTTTGTTTTGACTGTACAGATTTAGTATGACCGTAATTTACGTAGTTTTAATTAGTTTTGGGATAAAAAATTACCTATATTAAAAATGAATACTTAAACAAAGTCTTAATGATATATATATATATATATATATATATATATATATATATATATATATATATATATATATATATATATATGTATATATTACAACTGATCATTTAAACTATTTACTCATGCAAATTATAAGATTAAAGTGATAAAATACATACCAGTCCACCTAATGGAATGTGGCTTCTGCAATCCATGGTCACCTGAAACCAACTATAAACAAAGAATTCAATCTGTTGCCCTCTTTGTTTAAAGTTGGTTGTGTTGTCACCATTTATTTTAGAAATAAGATGAAATGCCTCTCATCCTTTACTATGCTGGCTTTCTATACCCTTCAGATCGCAACACAGCAGTGTATGTATGCACTGCCGTTTGGTGGCAGAAAAAGATAAGAGGGTAGTACCTACCCAACCGGAATCCTAGACAAAATCGGAGTGTTACCACAGAATAAATTATAATGCGTGTTACCTTGTTCAGAGCAATTTTTTAATACGTAAACGTTCCTATTTACCTATTTTACATTCCAGGTTTCCTATTTTTTGTCACTTCCTAATGAGAAGTAAGTAGAACGAACTGAGAGGAACTGCGACCAAGAATCCAGCAGATAATTTTATTCTCTCTTTTTTAAATAATAGTACAATTTGCGTAAAATTCATTCATCACGTATCATCAATACGTTTGTAATTATTTTATATTCTCATCACAGCAATCCTCACAGGTTGTATAAGGAATGCGTGACGAGATGTGTGTTAATTTCCTAAACGCACTCCAGCCCAGTTGGATCCGTCGATTGAACTCTTGGTCGAAATTTGACTTATCTAGTCGAACAATTTGTCCTAGACAAACATACTCGTCAACAACTTCGACGTTACACGTGATCTTTGTCTTGTCTATGTTCATTTTAACACATTATCTTTGGGAAATACTAGCACACAATGTTATTGACCTCCAGTGCTTTTGCAATAATATCTATATCGTCGGCAAATTCGTAGCTAGGTGATGTTTTCGTCATTGATATTGATACCTTACACGTTATCTACTGCAGTAGCTTGAAAACGTTCATACACGTAAACTTTAGGTACCGATTTTCTCCACCAACTTTCATAAGCTCAACTGTAATTTTATCCTCTACCGGAGTCTTGCCATTTTTAATATTTTTAAAATATTAAGGAGTCATTCTAATCTCGCTCAGACTGACATCCGAGATATCACCGTAGAAGTGTCAGGTGACACTTGTTGCTGTATAACGACAATGTATTCAGCTGTTTGTAGACAATCTCAGTCCCACTTAAAATCTCAAGTCCCAACGCTCCCACCATCGGTCTCTAACTCACTTGTCTATTTTCGCTAGATAGGTACTTGACGAAGACCTTGGAGCCCTGGTTCCGCTCCAACACTTCTTCAATGCGATCCGTACTGAAGTTGTGTAAGTAATCCCATATAATTTGGAGATCTGTCTATTCAGATGCCTGTACTGTGTGTCATCTATTGAAGATTGTAGTTTCATTTCTGTTCTTACAGCGAGTACTATTGAAGAGTTTGTGGGTTCTTCTCTGACTTGCAAAACTCTCGAACTTCAGCCAAAAATTCTTGACAATGCCCCTAACCTTTCCCATGGTCACCACCGAAGCCAGGAATAGTGGGGATGCCGAGCACTGGATGCCGTTTTTTTATCGTTGTTAATGGGGGTGGGATGTTTTGTCACATACGACTAAGCATTTACTGATAAATTTGTACATGTTTCCTTATAATCGCGTATGGTTTCAGACTCGAGGACCACTTCAACTAGTGGTGGAGGTGTGTGGACTGACGCCGAGTCGCTAGATCCACAGAGAACATTGGATAGCTTGAACTCGTCTTTCTGGTAAACTATATTGTAATATAAATGACAATAATCATTAATATGATGCCTTTTAATATTATAATGTCGTAAATACAAAAGAACTCACTTTTTATTGTATTTATTAGCGATAAAATTCAATATCATAACGAAAAGATCGAAGTGTTAGCAGCAGTGAACAAGCAAGATCGTCGTAATCGGTGAAATAATAACTCTAAATAAATCAGGCACTAAGGAAGCAGTTTTGTGTACTTGGTCTTATTATTTTAATTTGAGTCTCCGGCATTTAAGAAACTATCCAGTATAATCGTCTGAAAAATCTGAATTTTGTTTTAATTTTTTTTTTCACTTATTCGAAAACTATTTTTAAACTTCGAACTAATACGTAGGACACTCAATAAGTTTTGAGATATATAAAAAGTATTCTAGATACTATTAATACTCATTTAACAGCTTTTCAAAATATTCTCCATCATGCTCTATACAAAGTTCCATTCGCCTAAACCAACTCTGAAAACACTTTTGCCAGTCTTGATCTGACAGGTCGGAAATCGCTTCTTCGTAGGCAGCCACGGCTTCTTCAGCAGTTGAAAAAAAACTTGCCTTTTATCTTTTCTTTGACTCTTGGGAACAAAGAGAAATCACAAGGAGCTAAGTCAGGGCTGTAGGGTGGGTGACTTACAGTTTCAGCATCAGATTCCTCAATAAATGCTTTTGTTCTAAGGGATGTATGTGAAGAGGCGTTATCGTGATGCAGCATGATTCCCCGAAGCACGGTCTTTGGTCTTCTCTCCCGCACAACTTGAAAAGCTTTGGGTAATGCAACTATAGTATACCTTTCAGAGTTGACTGACCTACAATTTTCCAGCATTGACGTCGACAAATGGAGCTGAGTCCCCTAATACTGATTGTAACCGCTGTAAACTTAATTGTTCGGTAAAATCAAATTTAAGATCATAATAGATCATAGCGCGCAAATGTTCTTGGTTAAGGTCCATCGTTTTAAATGAAAAGTGCGGGAAGCGGAAAAATTAATAGAACTTTGTTTTTTTTTAATATTGAGCAATTGGCTTATGGAGATCTATTTTTAAATAAGGAGACGGTCCATTTCAGGCCCAGTCTATGTGCACTATACCGTAAAAAAGCGAAAAATTCAAAGATTTTATTAAAAATAAAATAAGAGAATAAATCAAACTAAATGACTTGCTAAAAATAAAAATGCAATCTTTTTGATGTTTTTACAAGATAGTGCCCTTCCAGTCATGAAATTAGATGTCAAATGTCATGTCTGAAAAGTGACTTCTAATGAAATAATGTAGGTAGTGTGATATTTTTTATTCCGAGCTTATTCGCGCAGTTGTAAATTCCTGAATTATTGTGTTTCTTTTAGATTTGTTTGGCGATTTTTTTTTATTTGGACATTGTATCTGTTATTAGTTTTTTGACTCGGCTTTTGTTTTATGGAATTCATAATTTACGTGAGATTTTGACATCTGTAGAAACACATTGGGTGCGTTTGGCAGAAAAAAGCGCTAGCAAGCGCTTACAAGCGCTAAAATAGTTTTCGGCCAGGACACGATTGCTACTTCAATAGCGCTGACACAATCCGCCATTTTGCTTATTTAATTTGTTTGTTTTGAAGTAGAAATTATAAGTTGTTTTGTGCAATATTAGTTTTAAGTAATATAATGACATGAATAGACATATACATGTTATGAAAAATTCATCATTGGTAAGTTTTTAATATGAATACTTTACAAACATATATTTAAATTAGGTTAGGTTCCCCGGTTAAAACTAACATCGTGTACTGGAGGAAAATAGCTACTTACGATTTGACAGCGCTTATCGCTTACGATCGCCATTTTGCTTACAAGCGTTTGCTAGCGCTTTTTTCTGCCAAACGCACCCATTATGAATCACTAGGCATTGATAACCTCATGACAGTTGACAGCTAATGTCAAAACGACATCAATTCGCCATTAGTGTTGCAGTTTTTGGTAAGAATAAAATATTTATACCTCTGAAATAAAGGCGAATTCATGGATTTGAATGACCAATTGTGGTATGATATATTATTTTTATTTATTTCCATACTTGTACAAAACCAAGCATACACTTCATACAAATTTGGACAGTCTCTTTTGCTTTTTAGAAACATATAACACGGGTGCGTTCCATTTTTAAATTTCGAGCATCTCAAAACTTATTGAGTGACCTACGTAAACAATCCGTATATCGAGGCCACAAAATTTATTCCTGAAATAGTCTAGAAATCAAGATCAATATTATATTATGTGATACATATTATATTATAAAAAGTATTTTTATGTCTCTGACATGTAACGAGTTTTTTTATGAATCCAGTTTATTAAAATTCCAAATTGTTTTCAAGACACATTAAATATTTTTTTGTTTTAAATACCATTTAAAATAACATAAAAATTTATCTTTGAAATAATTTCATTTATTGTACGAAAACTAACATCGAATGTGGAAAAAGATACGAATACGTATTTTTTACTAATATTATTTATAATTTCCATTGATATGGATGTTACTGGCTTGGAAAACATTGAATATTTTTCTAGAAATTCTACAGGGATCGCATAAATCTTAAGTTACAGTTCGACGTCACCTTGCAGAGCCGGCACTGCGCCCGATGGCAAGGATCGCGAACAAGACAGTTTCTTGTTTGAGCCCAGAGTAAGTATGTTTCAACTTAATTAGGTACTTAATTTGGTATTGAACGCGAGTAACCCAGGTTCGATCCCCGCCGGCACCTATGAAATTGTTAATTGCAATTTTAAGTGCTGATATACTACTTGCTCGGCGGTGAAGGAAAACATCGTGAGGAAACCTGCATGTCTGAGGAATAAGAAAAAAAAATTATTTCGAAGACATGTGAAGTTCGCAAACACGCATTGGGACAGCGCGGCGGACACTTCCTTGCCCTAAAACCCTCTCAGAAATGAGGGGAGGCCTGTGCCCACCAGTGGGACGTATATAGGCTGTAACTACTTTTTTTACTAGGTACTTATACTATGAACTTTAATTGTTATAAAATTGAGAATAACAAGAAATATGTTTGAAAAATCAAACAAATTACTATGTTATATATAAATGAATATACCTATGCTGTTAACCTATCTCTGAGATTTAACAAGCCCCAACCAAATCTGTTCTAAAAGAAATAAGATGCCGAAGTATTTATAAAGCACCTAGCATAGAAACAAAATATTTGAATATTAGTCACTGATATCTTTGAACCAATATCTAAACTTATATATCCATGTATCAAGCAAATAAAATAAACACAAGTGTATACAATGATTACAGATGACTTTTTATTACGCAATACTACGTAATACTATTATTTATTCTGTGGCAATACGAACAGATTTTGTCTGGAAGTAACGCGCAAAAGGACTCTATCCATGAGAAAAACACTAAACTCCTGGTCTAACTTCGCAACGTTAACTCCGGACCTTATGATTTGTTGCTCATCAATGAAAATGATACGAGGGTGGATTGAAAAGTACTCGGCCTAACCAAGAAAATAAACACATACTAAATCAGTTATATTTTTATTTTTCTACATAATCACCATCAAGTTCAATACACTTTTGCCACCTCCCCTTCCAAGCATTTAGACCGTTGAAAAAAAATGATTCTTCCTTAGAGTCAAAATATGCGTCTACAGCTGCTTTGACCTCGTCGTTTGTCGAAAATCTTTGACCTCCCAAGTGCTTTTTTAGGTTAGGGAACAGAAAGAAGTCTGATGGTGCCAGATCAGGTGAATACGGCGGATGCGGTAACAGTTCAAAGCCACAGTTGTGAATTTCAGCCATTGACTGTACTGACGTGTGAACACGGGCGTTATCTTGATGAAACAGGACTTTTCTTCTGAGCATTCCTCGACGTTTTTCTTTTATTTCCTCTCGTAAACGACGTAGTAAGGTGCAGTAGTAATCAGAGTTTATAGTCTGACCCCTTTCAAGATAATCAATCATAATCACACCTTTCGAGTCCCAGAATACTGAAGCCATCACCTTATTTGCCGACAAAATCGACTTAGCCTTTTTAGGGGGTGGTGAACCAGGTCTTCTCCACTGTTTTGATTGTTGTTTTGTTTCCGGTGTACAGTAATGAACCCATGTTTCGTCCATAGTAACAAAACGATTCAAAAAATCATCTGCATCGGCTTCAAATAACTCCAAACAGTCGCGTGAAATAGTCAATCGCGTCCTTTTTTGTTCAACTGAAAGCAGTCGCGGAACCCACCTCGCAGACACCTTGTGGAAACCCAACTCGTTGACAATGATGTTTTGAGTTCGTTCATAAGAGATGCCTATAATCTCGGCTATCTCTCTAATTTTTAATCTGCGGTCTCCCATTATTAAATCAAGTACTTTTTTAATATTTTCGTCAGTAGTTGACGTCGAAGGCCTTCCAGAGCGGGGTTCATCTTTCACACTCTCTCTACCACGCTTAAATTCTGCTATCCATTTTTTGACGGATGAATATGACAGAGCACAATCGCCTAATGTACTGACCATGTCATCATGGATGGCTTTTGATGATAGCCCCTTCTTATGGAGGTACTTAATGACGGCACGCTGCTCGATTTGCTCCATTCGCGGAAATTATGTCCGATTACTTTGTTAATAAATTTATAAAATCACAACTAATTATCGCAAACGTTTCGAACTTCACACAATGAACTAGTCTGAACTGAACTAAATAATGTGGGTAGATTTGATTTTTAGAATTGAATGGATCTGTGTTAGGCCGAGTACTTTTCAATCCACCTAGGTATTTTTATGGTAAATTACAGTCGTAAATTGGAAAGGTAGATTCGTTTGTATTAATGAAATCCTGGGAATTTAAACGATTTCTACAGTTCCACTGTTTTAAAGAATTTACTTGCAACATTGCACCATTGGAAAATTTTGCGTGGGTTAAGGTTCCGTTATAATATAAACCAACACCCTGCCATTTAAAACCAATGTATGTAGGGGTAATCCAGAGAGCTGCAAGTAATTGAGAAATTCTGTTGGGAAATGAAGAACATCTTGCGAGTCGAGTACAGTGTTTACAAAGTCGGATGTTTGTGTCAATGCATTGATCTTCGGAAGAATGAAGGCATTTACAGTTATGTGATCCTTACTAGGTATATAGTTAATCGCCCCGTAAAATAAAAAGTTTAATACAAACTGTAACACCCTATTTCACGCTCTTATGGGTTGATTTTCAAAAATCCTTTCTTAATGGATGACCACGTCATAAAAGGCAGCCACTTAACTTTTTACTAAATGTGTACTTTTAAATAACAGTATCCAGGCAGCATGTCCTTGGTAATGGCGGGCTCCTGCCCTTCGCTTCGCACGGATCCTGCTCTGACATCGGCGCCCAAAAATAGCACTGAGGAAATAGGTAAACTATTCCTTGATAAAATTTATGATCTTGGTAGGATGCACTAGACTTAAAAATTAAATACATCACATGAGGAGACGTCTTTCGAACAATCCCATAACGAATTCTAGGCATTTTTCAATAGAATAAGGGTGACAAACGAGCACAAAGTCCACCTGATGGTAAATGGGTGCTGTGGTCCATAGACATCTACATTTATCTTCAATTAAGAATCAAAATGCAGATGCGTTCCTAGTCCTGAGGACTAAGATGGAATGCCTCGTTTCCAGTAAAACGGTTCTCCGGTTTACTACACTTACCATACGAAACACAGCAGCGTTAAGCTTCTATTTCACGCTGGTATTCTGCGAGAGTGTGGCCCCTCCCCGGTCGAGCCGACCTATTCGTGCTGCAACCACAATATAGCTGCAGTATGACTCTATCACGTAATAACTCGATACTATCTACAATCTGGATAAAGTATTGTATTTTTTTATGTTTCTATCCAGTCTTACCCCGTGGGTGTCATAACAGTGACTTAAGAGTATGTCCCGAAATCCTCGTGATCTTAAATAGATGACATTATAATAATTCGTTCTATATCATTTCGTATATATTCATTCATTACCAATAGAAACTCCACATAATACTTAAGCTGTTAGATTGCTGCCCTAGAGGATATTTGCCATAGTTGCCAGGCTTGGCAGGTGAGTTACCAACCGTAGTTTTTTTTTAGAGTTGTCGTATGACGCGACATAGTAAATAAAAATATACGGTGGTACCTTCCTGCCAAAGTAGTAATTGTGGGAATGAGGCGATCCATGGGAGAGACCTGATTGTTCAGCAGTGACCTTTGATAAGTTATTATGATGATGATGAGCAGGTAGATACTACTATGCATCTCCTGTTTCAGTTTTTCTGTGTTGCCTCATACAATATGGCTGTGACGTCTACGGGTTGATATAGGGAATTTTTTTATAGGATAGGGTGACAAACGAGTCCACCTGATGGTAAGTGGTTGGCTGCGGCCCATATACATCTATCCTCGATTACGAATCAAAACGCAGATGCGTTGTCGCCCGTGAGGACTAAGATGAAATGCCTCGTTTCCAGTAAAAAGGGTCTCCGGTTCTCTACACTCACCATACGAAACACAGCAGCATTAAGCTACTATTTCACGCTGGTATTCTGTGAGAGCGTAGTTCATCCCCGGTCGAGCCGACCCATTCGTGCTACAACTAAACTTCTAATATAACTGCAGCATGGCTCTACCACGTATAAAATGGTAGTATATTTACCGTATAGCTGCGTTAAAATATCTACTGCCCCATATCATCCCGTGGGTGTCGCAATTTCGAATATATTCTAGATGTAAAACACACAGACCGATAACGGGAACTTCAATGGCCACGCCACATATGATAATGAGTATGTCAAATCTTTCCAACTATGGGAAAAACAGTGGCGTAAGCTGACGAGGCCAAGAAAAGTAGTAACAGTAGTGAAGCACACTGCAGCATAGCCAGTTTCAATCAAAGAAGTCCGCAGATTCCTTATTATTCGTCAAGTCTATATTGCTTTACGCAAATATTGACATTGTGAAGTTTGAGTTTAAGCTCGAGATTGTCTCCGAATACCAACCTAAGATGCATGGTCCATAATTATACCGCCTCTTTGGATGATGTGTGATGATAATGTGATATTTAACAGCAGTAATAAGCACGTAAGTGGTGTCCAACCTGTCGAACTCTCACGTAGCTCGGCGTAAGTCTACTACTGAACATAGGATTAACACAGCGATTGCTAAAGAACAAGGTCAGATATCTTTGCATATTTTACTTTTTAATCTAAAGTATGCGTAGGCCACAGCACTTAACTTAAGGAACACTGTGTGTTCGTTAATCATCCGTGTATAAAAATAGCTTTCGTAGCTATCAGTAAATCATCATCTTTATTATCACGTGCAAACACGATGATGATGATGATGATAAGATAGCCTTTGTATCTAATTTATATATTCTCTACATAGAAACCGACACAGAGTACCAAGACGCTCACACAGAAATAAGTCCAAGCGGACACGTCTGCACAATATCCGAAAACATCGAATCGAACAACCCAAAACAAGGCAAAGTTGGGCGTTTTAAGGCAAGAATAGCGCCGGGCCACCACAAAAACTGTACCCAGAAGCAAATCAAACAAGACTCCATAAAAGAGAAGAACCCGCCGATCCAATCAGGCAGTGTTCTTCCTCATGGACACCACCACACCAAGAACGTGAATCATCACCAGTGTTGCGGAGCTTTCGGAAATCCTCATGTGAGACATAAGACTAGTAACTCTAGTTGTCACTTAATTTAAGTGCTGTTTTATTATATTTCAATTTACAAAACAAAAATGGACTCCTTAATATTTTTGCTAAATCAGTGTGTACATTCAACATCATGTACAACGTGCCACAGTTAACTTAAATTTTATTTTTCAGACAGTATACGTCTGTTACACACTCTAATGTCCTTTGCAGACTACCAAACAGTATATAACCACTTAGCTTTGTTTCAGTACTTTGCTTTAAAAATCGGTTCAATAAATTTTCTTCTTACTTAACAATATTATAACACTAGTGTCACTAACGCTTAATATTGTCTTTGCTTAATTATATCTTCGGGCTTTTTAAAATTATATACGAAGTTCGAAAACGGTTGTAAAGTTAAATACTTATACATTCATAATTTCTTTTCGCCACTTTTGCCTATACTTAAAGTGAAAAATCACTGTCTATTCGCAAAGATACTTGATGAAATTAATCGTAAATTTACAGTCACGGCCTATCAGGTTGTATCCTTCTACCTAAATTAGATATTAAATAAATGGTTACTTTTTTGTTATAAATACAAATAATTGTAGTGATTAAAAATATTTTTGTATTACGAAATAAAGTATTGATTTTAGACATATGTAAAATACGAGAATGACTTTTTTAAAGTTAATTGTTATTAAAATTGTTTTATCCAATGCAGTGACTAGTGTCGATGACATTTGAGTACTTATCTTTTGAAATTGCGACGTAACAAAGTATTCATATATTTACTTATTATTTTAAATTTTAAATATTGTACATATTTAAGTTATTATTTATTTCAGATCTCAGATAAGTTCACGCCATCCCAAAAAGAGATTCCAAAGAGTACTGTAATGGAGAAGATAAAATCCCAATTTAAGATGAGCTTTACTCGTTGACAATAGAAACAACATTTTTAAACTTAAAATCAACTTTAATGAGGTTATGTTTTAGCACTGTTTGACAGTGATGTGTTTTAGTCAAAGTAGTAATTTAAAATTTATACCAATGTCAAAATATTTTTTAAATTAGGTTATATAGTGAAATTAGGTTTTATATATCAGCAGTTTTTGAAATTTTAACCCATTACTTAGTAATGGAGTTATTTAATAGATAGTCTAAGACACTATTGTATAAAAGATAACACGAAAAATATGAAAAATAATGTTTAATATACACAGCTAAAGTCCTATAGTTGTTTCGCATTATAGGTCCAGAGCGATATGATTCATACTATAATGAGCGGTTAAATTTCAATTCAACTTACTTAAAGAACTTTTTAATTGTTAAGGAATGGTCAAACAAAAGACCTAATATCGTGTGTATCAAATCAACATCACCTTTTCAGCTCAAAGATGATGAAAATTACGCTATACTAAAAATTACATTTCACTTTGATTGTACAATGTTCAAAAAAGTCACAGTGGAATATGTATATGAAATTTCTTGTATGTTATTTATGTGCCCAGAGCAATAATTTAACGTTTAATTTCATTGCTTTATTTTCTTTTGGTAATATTATATTAAAGAAGTTACCAAGAAGTTATCAAGTTAATTTAAGGTAATTAATCAATTTTATTTAATTCAGTTACGTACTTTGTATCATTTCTTCTCTCGCAAAATTCAACTATGCTGCCAGAAATTAATTCATAATTGATGCTCATGTTATTTATAAAAACGAAAATTAACGAACAATACCTATAGAGTCATATAGAGTAGTTGACACCCGTGTCAATTATGAAGTCCTCTTCTTCTTTTAACTTATGGCTTCTCTTATTTCTCTTGATAGAATTCTGTCAAAACCAGTGAGAGTTAATTTTAATCAAATAAACATTTTTTTACTATTTAGTAAAATGCAATTTAAATTTAAATGTAAAAACCGACTAAGTAAAATCTTCTAAATTATGTGATGTAGTAATATACCAAATATTATAAATCAACAGTCAACTACCCAATTAATGTTGTGAATTCCTCTAATTAAATGCTTATTTACTTTATAATATATGACTGCGGTGTATTTTTTCCTCATAGAATACCTTTCTTAACATGATTATCTATGAGTAAATATGAGATGGGTGCTAATGTGTAGAAAAAGAACGGATAAAACGCGTGACCAACACAGCAAAGTTATGCTTTTCACGTAATTGCACGAAGTTTTTTAACAATTTATCCATTTTTAATGTTCTGCAATATTATGAATAAAATATTTTTTTATAAATTTGAATAATAATATCAGTGCGTACTTAAATGTTGTAAGTCAATTAAGAACTTTATCTAGTCGATTTGAGATTAAATATTGTACCTTATTTCGTTTATTTAAAAATTAAATTTAATAGTCAATGACATGTTTTCTAATGTCGTTTGTATACTATTTAAATTATTGAATGTATTAGATGTACCACTTTAGATATAATTCGTTATACGGAACCAAAGTTAATTAAGACCACCAATATCTTATACAATTTATGTTTATTTCATTATCACTGGTAATGCATTCAATATGTGACTTTCATTGTTTCATTTCCGGTATTGTGAATCTCACTATTGTGAAAATAAAAATGCATTGAAATGAATCTGCTTTTTTGTTCATTGACCCCTGTGAACTTTAAAAATTTCAAAAGAATTGGTTATCTAAAAGTCGGTTTACGGACGATAGGTTAACGTGACAACGTCATAACAAAGCATCGATGAAATGATTTCATACTTTGTGGTAGAGAGATAGATGCGGCGCAAGCCGAACACTCAAGCCGATCGTGCCTTTCGCTCGCTCGTGTAACGATCTCGCTCCGATTGTAACGTTACAATGAGCGTAACGTTACAATTATCATCCTTTTTCGTGCGTGAAACCGGCGTTCATCGATTTATTAGACGTTATCACGTCAAAAATGGATCTGATTATGGGATTTTCGCATTTCCTAAGGATTATAACGCGTAATCATCGCGCGAGCCAGCTGTATTGACAACCGCAGACACATGAGACATCTTACACCTTGAAGCTGCTTTTCGTCACCAGTCTGGGCATTTTAACCAGACGGTGATACGATCGTTTAGAGGCCATTATATTTACGACACCAATATCGTTACAGACGTTCACGAGTCCCCTGCTGTTCATAGACATAAACCAAGTTTTTTTTGGATGGGGGTGACAAATGAGCACAGATTTCACCTAATGGTAAGTTAATGCTGTGGTTCATAGACATCTACATTTATCCTCGATTAAGAATCAAAACACAGATACGTTGTCACCCATGAGACTAAGATGAAATTCCTCGCTTCCAATAAAAAAGGGTCTCCGGATCTCTACACTCACCATACGAAACCCAGCAGTATTAAGCTGCTATTTTACGCTGGTATTCGGTGAGAGCGTGGTCCTTCCCCGGTCGAGCCGACCGATTCATGCTACAACCATAATATAGCTGCAGCGTGACTCTACCAAGTACAAAACTTCGCTCTTGCCTTGAAGACACTCACATTGTAATCGGATGGAAACACAGATGCTGACAACTTATTCCACTTCTTGCACTCATGATGAACGACGTAACAAACCGTTTCGTTCGAATGCGTGGTAAGTCAACAACGAAAGTGTGACTGAGCCTGGAGGGAGACTGGCAGAACGCCTGGTTGTTTGATAGTGGAAGGGAGAGGGAGGAATCAAATTATGCCATTCCTGCGCACACTCTCTGCAATGCATCCCGTAGAAAATCGGAAGGCTATAGCTACTTTGCGCCTGTGTTCGAGACTGGTAACATTGGTTTTAACCAAATTCGGGTCACTGATGAGCCTCTTCCACGCCTTTCCATTGAGTCCAAAGCTGCGAGATGGCATTTTGCAGCACCAGCCATCATCAGGCAGTCAGCCATATGGCAGCAATACTCCATGGACGACCGAACTTGCGCTATTTATAAAGTAAGCAGCTGTCGCGGCGTAAAGTATCGCCGCACTTTTGCAAGGACTCCTACCTTCCTTACAGCTGCCTTGGCCTTGGACTCAATGAACCGCCCGAAGTCCAGATTTGAGGATATCTCATTCCCCAACAACTGAAGGCGGTCGGTGTATTCCAATGACACATTTCGGAAAGAATAATCCAAGATGAGCTGGCTACTTTTTGCAGTGAAGAGACATGCTTGTATTTTGGAGGCGTTGAATTGTACAAGATTGGCATCGCCCCTTTCAGAGACTGCCTGTCACTACACCTGAGATTGACATGCTCTACCACAGCTTTCTTTTTCAGACTGGATTTGATCCAAACTGGCCCAAGGGCTTGGTTAGTATATCTCCCGAACTGTGAATTCGTTATGTGAAGAGAGTTACGGAGAAAGTGGATCCCTGAGGTACACCGGCATTAGTCGCCACAGGATCGGATGAGTAGCCATCGATGACGACCCGAAGAGAGGCACGGCCATCTGCATCCATAGACTACCTGCATGTTCAGCAGGTCATCATTAACTAGTACCGGGCCTATAGGTGTGAAATAGACGATACACAGAAATTTTGTCTTGTCCATTATCTTAAGAGCTATCCGATGGGAGACACCATTTCAAATCAAAGCTGATTGATGAGTTCGCATAGATGTTGATCTTTTTCAGGTAGCTTAAACACGTCTCCCAGTGCAACAGTGAGGGGTTTCGAGAATGCAACGCGACCCTGTCTTACACCCGATAGCAGATAGGTATTGTAGCCTTACTATACGATAGATGAGTATTTCGATATAGGTACCAACAGTCAACTTAGTACTACAGAGGGATTTGTATCAAAAGCTTTCTCATAGTCTACATACACAAAACAAAGTGGCAGATTGATGATACTTCTCTTTCTCTTTCTTCTGCACAATTTACCGGAGGGTAAATATGTAGTATTTATGTTGTATTTTTACATTAAGAAATAGTAGAAAAGTATTCAACTTGGATTATTAACAATACAACTCGCGGCACGTAGCTCTAGCGCTGAACAATACCTGGAGGGGATAGCTGCAAATGGCGTAACAGTACGGGGACGGTGAATGGAAAGTAAATAATTATAATACTTACAAAATTTTTACAATTTTTTTTAAACTTTTACTAAAGCCTTACCTGTAAAAGAGTACGGTTTTGTTAATTCAATCCCCCGTTACAGCCTTTAAAGTTCACTTCTGAACATAGGTTATGCCTCATATTTGCCAAGCTTGGCATGCGGGCTGGCAACCAAAGTTTTTTATTTTTCATTATTAGTAAGACGCTGTTGCCCATCTCCTGATTTGTTTACCTCTGTCGCCTATTACGACACCCACGGGACGATATGGGGTAGTGGATATACACCGCTATTACACGGTCAATTTTCAGATAAAATTATTAATAATATGTATTGATTAAAATATAACATATTATGTCATATTTTATCAATATAAACAGAGTAACGAGGGAAGAGGGACCCCACTTTAAACCCGACAATTAGTTACCAAACAAAAGAAAAAAAAACCCGACCCCCAAAACAAAAAAAAACAAACCCCCCAAAAAAAAACAAAAAATAAAAAAAAAAAATAAAAAAAAAAAAAAAAGTTTAAGACAAAAACAACCACACACCCCCATAATTAACAACAAAAAAAAAAAAAAAAAACAAAAAATATAAAAAAAAAAAAAAAAAAAGGACTATCTTTTACACAAAAACAAGTATTCATTCTAGAACTGTTTTCAGTATACTACTTAACATTGGTAATTTATATCGCAAGTGTCAAGTGTGATCCTCAATGCTCACGCCCATTCTGAATATGCAATCCAAAACATTTCATAAGGAAAATAAATTACATACAAAAATTAAGAAATTAGTTCTATATGTTTAATCATAATCGAATCAAAATAACAGGTGAAACAAATAAGAAATGAAACGCAGTAATGAGGCAACGCTCACAATCCACCCTACTTAT